AGAAGGATTATCTGCCATGATGGCATTTGAAGATGGAGTAGACTTTCAGGTCACGTTTGCAACAGTGTAGTGTAGTTAAGTGAAACAATTGCCATACTCTGTTTTTCTGATTCTTGTTTTCCAAATAACTGGAGACACATATAGAAGAACTTGACCCCTGGCTGGATAGATAGATAGAAGGAAGAATTTACATTTACACTCTTCTCATTTGAGCTTTAAATGCTTCAGAAAACATTTATTTGTCTGTACTGTAGTATTAGAAATTATGGTTTTCAATTACAGAACTTATTTTTCTTTCAAAAGAACGTAATTTGAATTTCCCTGTGAGTCTTAAGAATGTGATTTTGGTTTTCAATGCTCTGTATTGAATAACTAAGGAGAGCTTTACATTTCAGTTTGAAGTAACTGTATTGATAGGACCAAATACATGTCAGGCGTAAGGCTGTACTAGTTTGTCTGAAGTAATTTGAAATCTGATAATTTCTGGGTTTTTTCCCATTGGTGTATATATACCCTTTGTAAAAGCAGAGGTAGCTAGCACTTGAGTTCCGTTAGCTAGATACTGGTATATCACAAACCATGACAACCAGGAAGGTTAGTTGTGTTGAATACAACAATTATAGTTTCCTGCAAAGTCGATTTTTAATCAAACTAGTAGACTTTGTAAGCAGAGATACAAATAATCAGATTTATTAATCGTTCTCTGAAATGCCTAAGGCTGATAGGGACTGCAAAATCAAAAGCTGAAGGTTCGAGGAAAGTGTTGTTAATTGTGTTTGCTAGACTCTGAGATAACACCTTGAGCAGGTATCTCTTTTGGATTAACTTGTAAGTCTTATGATGGTCTCATGCTTCAGGCTGTCAGTTGATTTCCTGTGTACTGGTCACTTGCCCAGCTAAAACAATGTAGAGCCATACTAGATTCTCTTAATGTCAGTCTCTCATTATCTCTTTCTAAATCATTCTTTCTAGAATAACTAGGAGAAATTACTTTTCTGCATTTATAGTACTGTGCCCTAGCCCTGCATAGGATTTTCAGAACCCTGCAAAACTTTTAGGAATGAAGAGGCTGTTTTCTGTTCCTGGGGGCTGTCTCGCCTCTCTGACGTTGTGCCTGGTCAGCCAAGCACAGTGTGTAGCAGCATTGTTTGCAGTGGGCTGGTCCAAATCACCTGTCACTGGGTGAATCAAGCATTATTGTGATTCACAAAATCCAGGGTCTCCTTTATCTTGGTTCCTGGCAGTTTGTTAATTTAGAAACAAAAAAGTCACTCTGCAGATCGCAGTTATGAGCTAGGTACTCACAATGCCAGGTAAGAGCCATATCCTGTAGCAGGCACTGGTAGTAGCCAGCATGCTACTATCACTCAGTGTGCGACTGTCAAGTTGCATAGGCAATACTAAGAGATAAATTTTGAGTCTAAGCTTGGGAATCTCTGTCCAGGCTACAGAGAACTGACTGTATTGGGTGAGGATTCAGATCTGATATTAAACAAATGGATTGTAATTGCTAATGTAAGTACTGGGGGAACAGAGGCAGAGAACTGTTTCTCACTCATTATGTGTCAGGCAGTCATATTTGCCATCACCTCAAATCAAACTTTTTAATCATTCAGCTATTTTGCATTAATATAACAAAATTTGAAAGTTTAATTGTAAAAAGAATAGTTCAGAGATGCTGTCAGTACAAAAGGAGATTAAAAATTATCTTTATTTAAAGTTAAGGGTACTGTGGTTACCTTTGAGTCCTTAGTAAAACTAGTAGATAAGCTGTAGGAGGGGCTAAGGAATATAATCTCTCACTTTTTTGAGTTTACATAGTTAATAGTTAATACTTAAGATTCTGTTGTATTCCCATAAACCTTTTTGTGAAAGCATTAGTATCATAAGACTGTGTTTCATGGTTGCTTTAGGCTGACATTAATTTACACTGCTTGTAAATGGGCAGCTCTTGTGACTGTCTAGTACGGGCTCGGGAACAGAAGCCTGGTTTGTGTGCTTGAAGTGGTCAGGGAAAATGCAGCTGAAGAGAAACAGTGTTCCTGGTAAATTAACATCTGCTTGAAAAATGACCCAGGTTTCTTAGTTTGCTTTTGATAATTACTAGATAACAAGAAGATACTTTTTTCCCCTTCCAGAAGCTATGGAAGGCTAAGAAGTACATTGTACTGCTATCTACTCATCAAGGTGCTCCAGGACAGTGAATTTCTTTTCTTCTGGCCTCTGTGTGCTTGATTTATCCTTTAACTTTTCGGGATCTGAGCATTACAATTTGATATATAAAATCCTGCTGCAGTTATGTGATATAATAATAGGTGAACAGAGATGCTAAAAATCCTGCTTTGTTTTCTAATATGATAAAAAAAGAGAAAATCACATGGGACAAAATAATTAATTTATCCTTCCCTTATATTTTATTTTTTTTTTTAATTGTAATGCCCTCTGTTATCTTTTTCAGCATGTTACTCCAGAGAACACTCTGGCTTATCTAGTAGCTGGGCAAAAAAAAGGTTTGGTTAAGCAGTTGCCTTCTTCAAATACAAAGTGAAGCTATGTTTCTGGTTAGTAAGAGATTGGTGGTGACGTACAATTTGTATGACAGCAGATGCCCTGTTACACTTTTAGGTTGTCTTCCCTGTAGAAATGGCAACAGAGCAAGCTTCCTGCAGGGCTGGCAATGCTTAATTGGTTAATCTGATTAGTTTTTCAGGCTTAGAAAGAAAAATTGAATGCCACAAAATAACATTGTGGTCAAGAAAAGGTGTATTCTGCTGATCACTTAGGTACTGCATGAAGCTGAAAATTAATTTTTTTTTCTGAAGAAAAGTCTATGCATAAGAATAAATCTATTTTGAAAATTAAGACTTTTGCTGGACCAGTTCACAGTGTTACTATGTTCTGGTTTTAAAGCTCTAAACACTTGAATTTCTTGTATTTTTTTAATGTATAAAATATCATAAATATTCTAACTGTGTAAATGACTATATCAGTTTATTACTACAAAATGTGCTTCATGTATTGGAATTTTTCTTTATTTGATATTATTTTTCCCTGTCTGAAATATGTATGCTGAATGTAATAAATACAAACATGCTCAACTGAAGTTATTTGGGTTTGAAATGAATACTGAGAGTTTTGGGATCTTCAGGTAGACTACCTTCTTGCTAGTTTACTCCAAGGTTATACCAGATGTAAGTTTTTAGACTTCTGCTTAAGTGGCACTTCAGTATGTTGAAATCTAGAAATAGATATTTAAAATGTGGTTTTCAGACTTAAATCTTCTTTTTTTACTTCTCTAAAAGAGATAGATAAAAGGCATGTAATAATTTTAGTGTAGAAATACCTTTAAAATAAGTTTGATGAGAAAAAAAATGTTGGCTGATTTAATTACCAGGATCCAGTTATTGGAAAGGCATTGTGTTTATACAGCTGAGGTGAGTAAACTCGGGATGAAGAGAGTCAGAGGGCAGTGTACTTGTCTGCATGCAAGTTCAGTATTTAAGCTCCCCCTGCGGTCAGCAGAGGGCTGGGTAGTGTTGTCACAGGAAGCCAACTAGCCACAGCTGGGCACAGCGAGAGGTTACTTCTCATTGGGACCAACAGCTCCTTCTGCAGAAACTATTGCACAGCTGAGAGAACGTGGGAGATGGGGAGACCTGCTCGTCTTGGCAATAGGAACTCTCTTAGCCACTTCAGCTAATGGGGCAACATACGCCTCTTGGGAGAGAAGGTGGTGGGGATTTGTGACAGGGAATCCTTGTTAAGGTTAGGTGTAGTGGGCCAGGGTTGGCTTGACTTGGGATAGCTTTATTTAAAAAAAATAAAATAAAATCTGTCTAGCACAATAATGAAAAAGTTGATTACTCATTTTAATAACTAAGTTGTAATCTTAAATGCCTTTCATAAGGTGCTTATAAAGTACTTCCAGGAATAGATTAAAGAAATAAAATTTATGCTCATGGAACTATATGTTGGGGAAAACAGAGTAAAAGTAGCTGTGCTGAATTGCATAGGTGATAGGCAGAGGCAATCAGCTCTAGTACTTGTAGCAAATGGAAAGTTGTCTAGAAGCTGTATAGCATTCATCATTCAGTGTCAGCTGGCTGAGCTGACTTTCACATGCGTGCAGTTTGTGAACAAAAATGGTATGTTGTTGATCTGTCAGTACAGTGTGTTAGTATAAACTCCACCAAGGGAAGCATTAAGAGTTGAAGTGTTTCCCTTCATCAAAAGAATTAAGTTTGTAGGGAGCTATATTTGGTGAAGAACATGTCATGGTCACACCACTTATTTCTTAGACCCGTAGGTTAAACATACATAGATCAACTCTAAAGCTGAGACTGGAGCTGAAGAATCAATAAAGTATCAGCAGATTCTAGTAATTTGTATTAATCATTCCCAATTATTTATTTTCCAGAAGGTATTTGACTATGCTATTTGATGTATAATATTTATTTGTAGTAGCAGAGTGAGACTCTATGGCCAATAGCTTTTTTTTAGCTATGCTATGTTGCATTTATAAAAACAAATAAAAAAACCTACCCAAAACAAACAAAAAGTTACTGTTACCTTTTTTTTTTTTTTTTTTTTTTAAGCATTCTATAAAAATACTCCAGCATAGGATTTGGCAGATCTCTGCTATTACAAGTGGTGTTTTCTGGAAGGTGTTTGAAATCTTTACAAGGGAATGCAGTGGCCTGCTTTGCAAAATTAGTTGCTTTTACTAGATAAAATCTGTTTGACATTCAGATTATTGGCTGTTTATAGGTTAGTGAGATATTATGTGTTTGCTCGTAGATGAAACTAATTCTACTACAAAGCTTATTTTTTTTTAAACGTGGAGAAACATGGCCGGTCAGAACCTCACCTTCAGATTTAGGTAACTTTATAGTATAGGGAACTGGATACTGTTTTTAGTTTTGCTTATAGAATTGTTTTTTTCTGAGAAACTTTAGTAATGCTGATTTTGCTGTTGTAATAGCAAGCTTGTCTTTTTTTAGGAAATAAAGCCTCAAAGCCATTACAACCATGGATATAGTGAATCTCTTGGACGGAAAAGCCACATTGATGATTACAGCACTTGGGACATTGTCAAAGCCACACAGTAAGTTTATTTTCGAGTGTTGAATTTGTCTGTATTAGTTAAAAAACGGTAAAATGGAGTTTTTTATTTGTGTAAAGTGGAAGGTGAACTGTATTTGTAGACACAGTAGTACAAGATTTCAGAAGTGAACTCTACAAAATTAATGTTAATAGGAATTATGGTAGAGTTGTAAATATAGGTGGACAGATTGTTCGAAGAAAAGGTATGGTTTTCTTCCTGTTGGTGCTGATGTTTATTTTCTGTAGGTGATGATTAAGAGGTAAGTGGGCAACGTTGATATGCAGACATGAGTGTTTCCTTGATTTGTTGACATAATTTATAGGCTAGAAGGAATGTGTCTCTGTAACTTCCTTCATTGTCTCCAATTCCGCAGTTTTAGTGCTGCTAGGAAGAGTTTACTGCTGAGAAAGGATTCTAGGAGTAAACAGCAAACTTAGTAATTGCATTCTTCATGCAGATGAATTATACAAATTTGTCTTCTACACAGTCCTGTAGTACATACTAACTAACAGACTTTCTGAAGAATTTTCCTGACACTGTTTTAGCTTGCTGTTGTTTCCTGTTGAGAGACCACTGTCACTTGTCTTCAACGAGCTGAGATGACAGGGAGTTCTGTAAGATTTTTATTTTTGTTGTATTCTTAATTTGAATGCTTAAACTATTATGTATCTTGTGAGGTATTTGTCTTTTTTTTCTTAAAATAATTTTTTTTTTTTTCCTCCTTAAAAGGCAACTCCTCCAACTGAAAGCAGCTTTGCAGCTCTGCATGTGACACAGGCCCCCTTTGGGTTTAGGAAGTATGTACTTTCCTTCCCTTTTTGTTTTGAGTTGTGAGGAATCCAGCTTCCTGAAATAGAGGTTGATGGACTTTGCAACTGTTGCTCTAAATACTTTAATAGTAGTACTACAACCTGTAATCTTCATATTAGGGAAATTTTAGAAATGAAAATATTGACACAGCATCAACCTGCTGCTTCTTAAAAGCATGGAAATATGATAGCAGAACTGGTTTTACAAGTTACCTGCTTCCATCCTTGTATGCTTATTGCATGTTTGAAACCCTAAAACACATTTGTCCCCGTCAGCCCTCAAATTCAGGCTGATCTGTGCTTTCAGCCGAGTTGTTATAATTCTTGTCTAGTGTCCTCAAACAAGAATCAACAGAGCAGTGAGTTACCTGTTGTGTTCCTTCCCAGTCATGGTGAGATGTGATTTACAGAGAGGATGACATCTCACCAAAGAGGGCTGAGTTTCATGTCACAGCCCTAATGGTTAGTATCACAGGGAAGGGGGACTGTCAGCATGGGTATATGATCAAGTTGAGGTATCAGGACAGTACTTCCCTGACTAGAGGAATAAAATAAATAATGCTGCTAATATATTAATTCAGTGTTACTAAAAAGATATACAGTTCCTCTTAAAATGATGTAGTTATTCACTTTTGTAGAAATGTAACCTCTTTTATATATATGAAAAATAAGTGATTTTATTTTCTACCACTTGTCCTCAAAAGTCGATATTCACTTAGTTTAAAATATCTGCTGACTTTGTTTACTTTTTAGTTCAGTGCTAATGTAAGTAAGATGCTACAACAAGTTTTGTAAAAAAGGGCCACTCATCTGTGGGTGTTAGTGTGATACAGTCAAATGGAAGCTGGGTGCTTAATGAAGCTGGGTGCTTCATTAGTTAAATGAAGTTCTGTTGGTCTTGAGAATGGTCTGATACACAACTTTATTATTATAATTAGCTATCTTCCTCTTTAAAAAAAAAAAAAGTCAAACTGATCTGTTATCCAAAATGATTTGACATTTCATGTAAGAACACTTAAATTTCAGGCTTCTTGACAGGTAGAAGGTGCATTTTGCTGTAGTGTAGAATTGTTTGCTATTAAATTTGTGGTAATGTAAGCAGGAAGCAGTTAATCATGTCGTTTAAGTAGCTAGTCATTCACTTAATTTTTTTCATAGAATACCGTAAGAATGGCAATGGTTATGTGCTGCATTATTAAAAGTTTCTCATCTGGAAGTAGTTATATTAGTGTTGCAACATACATGAAAATGGGGAACATAGTTCCTTAAACTTTAAAGATGATGATGAAAAATGGTATGAAAAGGTTTAAAGCTTACCTGTACTTCATGTATGCTGTTTGACTGTGGAATTCTGTTTTGAGATGTTGAGTTTATTGGCACTTGATTACAGAGAAATAAAACAATGTTAGTGAAATAATACATTTGCTTTTATGTTTTTCAGCGAAGGAAAATAAGGTCTTGCAAGCTCCACACATTTTTCCAGAAGTACTTGTTCATTGTTTCATATCTTGTTGAACTATTTGTGTGCTTTATCTCCTTAGTCCTAGATTGGACACTTATTAAATTAACATGCTTATATGCTATGAGCTACAAATCTAATAACCTCTTACAAGAAAATTAAGACTCTATAGAAAAAAATGGTTTAGCTGATCTTCTTATCATTGCAAAGAGTTTATCAGTCTTTATATTTTTTTCCCCTTTATGTTCCTGATAAACTCTCCCACAGATGTAGGGGCCTAGGAATGCTTCATACCAAAAATAGTCTCTCTCAGTGTTTATTTTGCAGAAATTTGCGCTGTAGTAAAAATCATAGCATTTGGTTTTAATATCTATTGATATAAAGGACAATTTTCACTGGCTTTGTTACAAACGTGTCCAAGGGCATCTAGGTGGCATTAAAAGTGTTAATGTCTTAGCCCTTTGTTTTGCAGATGTTACAAAATGTGTGTAATCTCTTGGCATCTTGTATTTGGTTATAGCAAAACTGTTTGGTTCATATAGTTTCCACTGTGTTTCTGAAAGCAGAAGCAAGCCACTCATATGTATTTGGAAAATCTGTCTTCAAAGCAGTATTAAAAAAAAAATTAGCCGTTCTTGCCTTTGCTGTTGCACTGAAGGAGCAGTGCGTACTCATACTTGATAAATACTTCACTTAGAACTGCAGTGAAAGTCTTTCTGCCTCTGCAAAATCAGAGGGTGGCTGTGTACTGGTTTTGTTCCTCTGTGGTATCATTCAGTGCTCTCACTGGGCCTGCAAGGGAATGGAACCTTGTTTTAAAAAAAAAAAAGTCATAAGTGATTTAAAAGTGAGATTTAATGGAGACATGTTGAGTGTATTTATTTCTGTCTCTTCTGGGAGGAGTAGCTCTGTGTCATCCAAGACTGGAGTCATAACTTTGAATGTGATGTCTTAGGAAGAGTACTGTGTCAATGTAGTAACTTTAAAAGTTGCTGCCTTTGTTTTGTTTTAAATGTTTTAACCCGTGAAACTAAGGAAAAGAAGCTGATGTTCACAGGTAGTGAAATATATGATGGGTTATGACTAGGAGAACAAAATCTGAGACACATCCTCGTGTTGTGATTTTTCAGTTCTGTTGAGAGCGAATAGGCACCTTCTGCTTGTAGTGAACATGAGCAAATTCCAGCTATGCTGAAAGTGTGTTAAATAGCCATTATGAACATGAGTATTAAACATTAATGATATTAACAAGTGCTTTTATGACTTCTGGAAGATTGATTCCTGTGCTCAAGTGTTACAATTTCATTATTGAAAGATAATTTTTCTGTTAGTTTTATTCACCAAGATCATTCAAAATGAAGTCATGTGTGTTATGAAATAGTGTAGCATGAAATATGCTGGATCTTGCTCAGGAAAAAAAATTGTTAGATATGTTTGAGAACATGCTTTTTTCCTCACTTTCTCATCATTCATATGGTAACTGATAAGAAAAAAAAATAGGATACATATGGAATAATTCCAGTTGGTCAGAGTTGGCCAAAGTGACAATTACTCCTGGCTTTTTTCAGCTATTCACAGGAGAGGATGGACAGACCATGACACGGGTACACATTCTTTATACCTGGTCATTTGTGCCTATGGAATTTGATTATATTGATGAAAGTGAAATATATCTGAAGTTCACATGGAAGGGTGGGATTTTTTTTAACCATACTACTAATAAAGCCACAACTGTCTAGACAATTTGAGGCTTTGGAACATACGCAAGAGCTGAATTTCTCTTTTCTCTCAACATCACTGTTAATAGTTTATTAAGCAGCTCTTGAGTTATCCCTTTGCTGTTGAAAACAAAACTGTCTTTCTGTTTAACACAAAAACCATGAGAATGTATGAAAGGCTTTGTTAGTATTTAACCACCATCATTCATGAGAATGAGACTTCAAAAGATAAAGATACTTTTTCTATTAATGGCATTTCCAGTTAAAAGAGCTTTGATTGGAGTTACAACATAGCAAGATGAGGGAGTGAGCTCCTGGCTTACCTACTGTTTGTTGGCATGGTGATGTGCTCACTGAAGAGAGTCCTTCCTAGTATTGTGGCCAAATTTTACGTTAATCATGCAGCAAAGTTGGCACTGTCTTGATGTGCTTGCAGACAAAAGATTAAAAAAAAATGGATTACTTATTTAAAGTGCAAAAAGCTTCTAGGATACTATTTTTGAAAGTATTAAGTTTAGACTATCTTTAACCTGTGTTGACAAATAAAATGTTACAGGTTAGTTACCAAAATGACTTAGAAATTGTGACAGCAAAATGAGCTTGCACAATGGTATTTTTGCCCTGGAAGAACTAGTACCATTTCTTTCAGAACAAGGCAAGCTCAATAATACGCTTTAATTGTACACTATAGAGATGTTTACAGCATCACCTGCTACAATTCACCCAGATGCTGAAAATTTGTGAGGTTAATACATCAGTCTCTTGCAAGGATTTAAATCCTTTCCTCTATTCCCCTTTCTTGAAGGTCGTAGAGCCCTTTATAACAACATTATAAGCATGATTATGCTGAATGTCTGAAATAGGTGACTTTCTCACTTTGTAATCTTAACAGTCATGAACCTTTGGAGAAGGCATGGTGAAGTCAGGTACAGCAAATTGGTGGAAGATGACTGTAGCTAATATGTGAGAGAAGAACACTGCCTTTCTAGGACAGAGCTCAAGAAACCATGTCTGCATCAGATTCAGTGTTATATTTAATTGTAGTGAGCCTGCTGTTTCCAGGAAGAGGAACAAATTGTTGTACATTCCTAACCTTCTTTGCCAGGCAGATTTTGCCTGTCTGGATTCTAAGTCCTCTTATGACAATTTAATAAATTAAAGAGTTATTAAATTATACCTTGTGTATTCCATCTTTTGTAATCAGTTATGATTGAGTTCCAGATACCAAAACAAATTGCTAGGAACATACAAACTGATGGTGATCTAAATGAGAAATTGCTATATACCTCGTTCACAGTTTAACTTTTGGAAAGCATCATGATTTGTTTTGTGGCCAAGCAGTAGGAATCACCTCTGACTTGCAGTTTGCCTTCCAGTGGGGAGGAGGGGAAGTCTGTAATGCCAAGCCTGGAGAAGGAAGCCATTCCTACTACTCCTTGTTGTATCTGAACCCATGCTACTTAGTCTCTGTCCCGGGCCTCACAGCACGGTATGGGTGAATTATAGAGGGCGCTATTTGTAAACATCAGTGGAGCATAATTAGAGCATCCTGTCAGGGCTTCTGCAGGGCCATTGGAACAGCATTCTGCCTCAAGGGGCTGCAGAGTTGGTTCATATGCTTGCCACAGTTCTCCTTCATTTTCATCTCTTGATTAAAGTTCTTCAGAAAGCAGCATCACATTTTCTTTGCTTTAAATAAAGAGATTTGCTTTAAATAAAATAAAAAACCCCACAAAAATGTGTTGTGTAGTTAACTTGATAAGACGTTCATCTAAATAATTTGTATGGTTTACCATAGCTGACCAAAAGTAATGTTGTTGTGTAACCCCTGTGGGCAGCTGAGCCCCACACAGCTGCTTGCTCACTCCCTTCCAGTGGGATGGGGAAAAGGTAAAAGTGAGAGCTCATTAGTTGAGATAAAGACAGTTTAATAGGGAAAACAAAAGCTGTGCATGCAAGCAAAGCAAAATAAGGAACTCATTCAGTGCCTCCCATCAGCAGGTGCGTGTTCAGCCATCTCCAGGGCAGCAGGGCTCTATCACACCCGACAGTCACTTGGGAAGACAAACACTGTAACTCCGAACTTCCCCCTTATTCCTCCTTCCCCCAGCTTCTATTGCTGAGCACTGTGTCGTGTGAAATGGGGTATCCCTTTGGTCAGTTGAGGTCAGCTCTCCTGGCTGTGTCCCCTCTCAGCTTCTTGCCCACCCCCAGCCTTCTCACTGATGGGATCATGTGAGAAATAAAAAAGGCCTTGATGCTGTGCAAGCGCTGCCCAGCAATAGCTAAAATACTGGTGTGTTATCAACACTGCTTTGCTTGCCAATCCAAAACCTAGCCTCACAGGAGCTACTGTGGAGAAAATTAACTTGATCCTGACCAAAACCCGTACATGTAAGGAAAATCCTAATCCTTTGCATGAAAGATTTACATGATTACCTCTTACACTTTATATGTTAGCATTTTTGTGTTCTTTCTATCTTTCCAATAACTTAGAATATTTTATTAATATAAAAGTATATAAATACTACTTATTTAAACAGGGTGAAAGCCAGCTAAACTCAGTCTTAGGCAGTACAGGGTTTGTTTTTTTTTTTAAAAAAACAGATTTACTGTTAAACCTAGTAACCTTTTTAATAGTGTCCAACTAATTTATGTGCTTCAAACCTGTGGTAGGTTTGCAAAGCATTCTTGAGGTTTGTTGACTTAAGTCACTTGAGACCTCACTATGGGAGCGCTGTCCAGATTGAGGATCCATTCAAATACATGAAAGAAAAAGTAAGAATGGTAACTACCCTGGAAGAAAGGTCTCTGGATCAGGTTTGCAAGCTAATCAAGTGGAGCAGAAGGGCCTTAAGTTGTCTAAGGTTGTCTCTTCTGCAGAAAGTAGAATGTAGAGGCAGCATAAGGAAAACTTACTTAAATTCCAACTTCGAGAGGCTGTTAAAATTCTGCTCTAGCAGAAGTCAGACGGCACAAGGCATTGATCTTTATTTCAAGGTGTGCCCACACATCAGTCTCCTCCTTGAGACTTGAGAGGTCCCTGTGGGTTGTACCCTAGGTGGTGGAATGTAATCTCTACTTGCCTTTTTGCATTGCTTCTATTACCACTAAAATAGATGGTAAAACAGTGTAAGCATCAAGACAAACATTACTTAATGGTGGAGTTAGTCCTCTGTTAGATGCCTAAGTGATGTTTATGCTTCCTGATTTGTTTCAACTTTCAAAATGTATGCAGAATTTTTTTTTTCACATTGATAGCTCACATTTAATAGTAATATTTAATGGAATAATTTAATATTAAAGTATAGAATTTTGAAGTGGTATAAAAAAGAAAATGGTACTAACTTATATCAGGAATATTGCTGTTTGTTACCTGAGAAGAAAAATGGGAAGTGTTTGAGCTCTGTTGGTGTTTGTAAATGACCTGATTGTCTTGTCATCTGCTGAATTTTAGGAAGATACTGTCAAATCAGTTGGCTAAGCAATTTTGGTCTTAAGAGATGGAAAGGAAGGAGAACAGAGGTGGGAGAAACAAATGTAGTGGCATTCCTTGGAAGAAAAGAGTTTTATTTATACTTGACATAAAGCTGATCTATATTTTGCCTTGCTCTGCTTTCTGTGCTTGCTCCACAGTTTGCTGTGGAGACAAGTTTTCTGTAAAATCTCGAATTGATTAATACAACTTCTACCAGTGGAAGCTGCTTGTGGCAGGAGATCTGTAATCATATAGAAACAGAAAGTAAAGATTCTTCTTCATTTCTCTTCTGTTGAAGCTTTTGTATGGTGACCTTAGGTATGGTGTTTGCCAAATGCATTTTTATCTAAGGTAACAGCTTTGAAAAATCTTGTTTTCTTCTTCAAGGTATGGCATATACGAACGATGTAGAGAGTTGGTGGAAGCAGGTTATGATGTACGACAACCAGATAAAGAAAACGTAACGCTTCTCCACTGGGCTGCAATCAACAACAGGATAGATCTGGTGAAGTATGTATTACCCTTTAAGTTAAATATAAACTAATCACGTCCTTAAAAATGATGATTTTTTTTTTTTAGGTGTTAAGTAATCTTAAGTCTCTTAAAATCTCAATTTTTGGTCTTGAAATTTTGGAGAGGGGGAATACTATAGAAGACCTAATTTGCATTTTGGCAGCAATGTTTTGACGAGACAGTTAACAAAAATAAAACCTGTTATATGTCCAGAAGTTGAGCTCAGAGTCTTTTCAGGTGAGATAAATCTGCAGAACAGCTCTTCAGCTGCATATGCAATTTCTTTATACTATGGTATACTTGTTGAAATGCCAAATTTCTTTTTTGAGAAGTTTGGTGCTTGATGGTAGTGAATGTTTTTGAATAAGCAAGAGTAATGTGATGCAAGGAGCAATTCCTACTTTATTCAACATTTCAAGAAGTTCTAACTTAAATAACTTCTTTGCCTTTTCAAAACAAAACTGTACAAAAAGTAAAATTGCAGCACCTCTCAAGTAATAACAAAATCATTGATAGAGGGAGCTGTGGAATTTGGGGTATTTTTTCTACTTTTTGGTTTATAAAATCTGGAGCATTATTATCTATTTCAGACTATGTTTTAAAACCTATTATCTTTCAGAACATGGAGAGCTTAAATCTTGAAGGGATAATTCATAGTACTTGTGTATAGAACATATTTTGGTTTTTTTCTCTACCAGTAAAAAGACAATTAAGTTCATGCAATTAAATCTAAATACACAAAATATTATTGAATCAGCAGGTTTCTAGAATATTTGTTATAAACTGCACATCTTAAATCAGCCCACTTTTCAAAACAGTCCTTATTAATGAGTGTGTGTATTACACGTAAAAACAAATGCAGAACATCTTCATGTAAGCACCTTCTCCCCATGTATGCCTAACACCAGCACCTTGATCAGCCCAGGTCTTGAGTTCCTAGAAGATTTCAGGTTCACATTTCACATCTTGTTTTTAAAGGACTTTCTGTGCCCTGATGCAGTTCGCTTAAAAGAAAGTTAAATAGATAAAGAGAGACTCTTGCAAAAGTGATGCAGGACCCTGGTTTACCTAAATAACCTTTTCTGTAAAAGTACATTTTAGATCCTATTGTTTTCTTCCTTTTCATTCCATTTTCCTTCTGGGTTGTCCTGGTTATTTATGGTTATCATCTTACAAGTTGCTGTGAAATAACAGATGCATAAAATTTTTCAGGTAGCTATTTTTTTTAAGAAAAGCACAGCATCTAAAAGCAGGTGTTCTATTTTGAGCTCACTTTTTTATCCATGTTGAATGTGTAATGAATTATATGCAATGAATTGTTCATCTTATTTGAGCTGTTGGAAGACATATATGTATTACAGATGGATTCCATCTCGTTTGGTATGTCTTTTTAAGATCTGAAAAGTGAATGACATTGAGCCAACTATCATAATTAATAACATCAGTATGTCATGAGGCATTTGGAAAAATAGGCCTATATTGCGGATCATGTTTCTGTATTAACTTATGTATTAGCTTCACAGTGCAGTGAAGTTTTCTTTTGAAACTAAATTTGTTAAAGAAGGACTTTAGCACGTGATTATTTCGCAGTGTATTTTACTTTGTTTTTTCCCTCCAAGTGTGTTGCTAACAACTCACTTCTGTAGCAATTATATTGGACATAAAGGTGATTCAAAATCAAAATATCAGATTCAGATAGATTGAAGTCTGTGCTTAAATCTCTATCTGAATTTCCAGTTTGGTCTTTATTATATTTTAGGGAGATCTCTCTGCCTGCATTCGAGTGCTGGAAACTGGTTCTGAGAATTTTAGTTCAGCATAACTTTAATTGTACCAGCCATATCTCTTCCAAGTTATTGTAGTATGAGCCCTGAATGTTCTTAAATGTAATGGGTCTAATTCTTCCTTTTTCCTCAACAATACATCAAAGCTCGTCCCTTCTTGATGTATCTCTACCACTGTGACATACTGCATTGCATGTTCTTCCTGCTCTTTATACTAGTGTGCATGTGACTACTAATGAGTTTAACTGTATCTGAAAGTCATTCCTCCTGATGCAGTTCTTACATTCTAAGTTCCTCTGTCTTTAGGGGGAGTCTTGATTTATTTTAGTTTATATCACACAGCATATTGTGTGTTCTCTCACTCTGTCTTTTATGAGACACTGCTTTATTCTATTTCTTTAGAATGAAATTATTCTGTGTCTTTCCTTTTTGTTTGACCCCGTCTCATCTTTCCCCAGTCTCCACTATTTGTGCGCATTGGCTAGCAAGCTTGGTATCACAGAGATAGTCTTAAGTGTGAGTGGTCTGCTCTCATGATAGCAGATCTCAGTGTCTTGCTAACAGAGTTTTGACTTTTAAAGTCTTCCCCATGAAGAAGCTTAGCAGCACATCTGTGGAGAGTGCAGGCTTAGAAATAGACTTCTCTTATTTTTTGTATTTGCTCATCCTGTCTATCGTGAGACTTGAGATTCAGCATAGATGACAGTGAAACCCACTGATATTTTATAAGGAAAGCTACAGAATCTTTTACTATTTCTATAGGATCAAGGATAAGTGTTGAGACATCCACAACATAATTCTTTTTTCATCATGACACTATCTATTGTTCTCCCTTCAACTCAATTTTGGTCAGGAGTGCAGAAGGTTTTGTCCCCTGTATTCTCCCTTCACCCTTGAGTTTTGTAAAAGTGTAGAATTTGACCTGGTATCTCTACAGTTACCTACTGCTTGCATTTCCCCATTCCCTGTGTGGAACTTTCCCCAGACAGGGATTTCTCTTCTGCCTTTCCTCCTTCTGGCAACAGTGACTGCATGGACTTTGATCCCACAAGCACTGAATGCAAGCTGTGGCAGTTTTCAAATGCCTGGCAAAAACTCAGTGATCCTAATGTCGAGACCAGTGGGAGTATTTTCTTCTTCTTAAGGCAACCTCTTATCATATCTGCTTGCTTTGCATGTAGGTAGATTTGTTCAAATAGGACTTGCACACCTGGCATCCTCCAGCATGGAAGCTTAGGTGACTCACTGAAAGTAGAATCACTCAGTTCTTCCTTTCTCCAGGGACATTCTCACCAAGCACAAAATTCCTCTGCAAGATCTACCTAGACAAGGAGATTTAAGTTCTCCGTCTGGTTTTGCAGAAAAATCTCACCATTTATGTGTACTGAAACCAAAACGCAGTGATAAATCTCAACTTAGTCTTGGAACACCCTTAAGGAAACATAAAATGTTATTTCAGTGAGCCATCTGGCAGGAGATGACTCCCTTGTCTTTTACCAGTTGTCAGACTGCAAGTTCTTCCTTCTAAATAAAATGTACTAACCAGTAAGCAGTGCTGCTGCTCGGTAGAATCTGAACATAGTCTGTGTTTCTGTGGGGACCAGTGTTTGAATGAAGACAATCTGTTTAATGTTCACCTTGCCATGAGTGGCTGTCACATGAGTGGGATGGATCCGAGCTTTGACTGTGAATTTGTCTGTACTTTTATCTTGACAAGATTTCTTGGAAACTCCTTCCCAAGGAGGACTGAGTAGCTTTTCAGTGTCTTTTTCAAATTTGTTCTTTGGTAGCTGATACTTTGCTTCACAATAACAAAATTACATTGTCCCTTTACCTTATATATGTCTTGTCTTTTCACCTACGAGGGACCAAGACTTTGGCAAAATCTTTGGTTGTTCTCATTGAGAAATACAAAAGCTTAACTTCAGCAGAGAGATGTCACAATTTTGTTCCTTTTGTGTTGGAGACTAATGGAGTGGGCTGCATCAATCCGACCAGATCTTGTTTGTTATACAAACCAGAGTTTATATGACTGGCGAGTCTGCTGAAGTACTTCATTGTGTCTGATGGCTCTAAAGCAACTGTATAAAAGAACTTTTCCTTTAGAGGTTTGTAATGTGAACATGTATAGCTAATGCATTTTTCAGTTTCTGTTCCTAAAGGTAACTTTTGGTCTGTTTTTGAAGTTTTAGTCTCTGAATCAATAAGCACTAAAGAAAAAGAAGATAGTTACTTAATGTCTTTCAAATTGTTCTGTTTGTTGCCCTTCTTCTTGACATGTCTTGAAACACTTAGAAGAAATTGAGGTGCCAGAAACTCAATGCTGAGGATTTGAAGGACAATTTGTGTGGGTGGGAGAGCAGCATTTGTATATACCTGACAGGTATTTTGAAAGCGAAAAGTCTGCAGGCAAAGGTACTTGAAATGTGCAAGCACTTCAGAATCTATAGCTAGATAGTACTTTTCAAGGTCTGTTAGTAATAACTTTTTTTTTTTTTTTCCATTGGTTTATAGTGTAGTGAATAAAGAACTAGAAGCCTTCTGGAAAGGCCTGTTTTTTAAAAACATTAATTTCTTTGTAAGGTGTGCATTTTCTTTCACCAAAGAAAAGTAGTATTGCCAGTTTAGCATCCCATATAAAACACCAAGGAAAACAATTCACAGAAACAGTGCAAATGACTATGCATATGAATTGCTGCAGTTAAATATGAGGAACTTGTTATGTCTCTGCAGGTAGTTCATCTTTTTATACATGTTCTTGATGGAAAAATAATTTCTAGCCCATCATTTCAAAGTGTTTTTTTCAATACTTAGATATTTTTGTCCTTAGATTGATAACAACTGAGAAGTATGTGAAAATCTTAGTACTTGGCTAAACATGTAACTTAAATGTGAGCTTTTGGAACAGTGACTTAGCAGGGCCATTCCAGGGATGATACGTACTGCAAGTTGAATTGTATATAATTTTGCCATTTAGCCAAAATTCTCTAAACATGCTAGTCTTGTAGCAGAATATTCTTTTACCATTAATTCTGAACTCTTTTTAATGTAGCAACCTCAAAATAGTTTAGAAGAATCAATTTTCTTAAACACTTCAGTGGTAGCACAATTTGTCCTAACATATATAGCAATTATGTTGTTTTACCCTAGAAACAAACTAGGAAACAGCAGCATGTTTAAAACACTGTAGGAAGCATCCCTACTCTCCCAACTCACATCAAAAAGGCAAAAAATTGAATGTATGATATGCATGACCTCTAAAAGGAAAGTTATATGAGGGCAAGTAAAGGTTCTGATCTTCTGGTCTGTAACTGCCTGTTTTGCATAACATCAAAAATGCTTACTGTGTGTCCTTTATATTTAACCAAAAACAAGCAATAATGTTTACTATTTCTGTTATTCCAGATACTATATATCAAAAGGTGCTATCGTTGATCAGCTTGGAGGAGACTTAAATTCTACCCCACTTCACTGGGCAACAAGGTGGGGAAAAGTCCTCTGGAAATTTCTTTTCCTGTGTTTTTGCTTAGCTTAGAATCTGCTAGGGATTGATTTATGAAATTACTGTATTTTATGGGAATACCTTGGACGAGAATTAATTCAGTCATTGGTATCTGGGCACACTGAATGTGGTATGTTTGAGCTACAGGAGCTTTCAGCGTATAGTTTGGGTTTTGTCTTACCTCATTCTGATGTAGAGGAGGATGATTGCTAAGATAGGAAAAGGAGCAAAGTAAAATTAGTGTCTGTAGTCACCTAGTTTACTCTTATTTTGGAGATCTTATCTTTATCAGCCTTCTGAAGTTCAGCAACACTTGTCGAGATGGGGCTTGGGATGTCTTAGTGTGACATTGTCCTTCCAGTGTTCTATTATGTGTATGGATTTTTTTTTTTTAAGGTGCACTTAAAATCAGATTTCTGATTTAGAAGATGGTCCAAGAACGATGAATGGGTGGGAAAATTGAAGATAGCTTTTGAGTAGTAGCTGTTTCTTCAGACAACCTCCTAGAAGTAGACGGGAAAGGAACACTGTAGACTGCAAAAGGAGACTTAGAAAATTAGTTTTTAGAACAATTAATTTATCAAAAGAATTTGTTTACTAAAGATGAGGACTTGCTTCTTGGCCTCGGTTACAAAGATTTTTGCTTGTATATTTATTCCTTTTTGTTACAGATCACATTCTCAAGTTCTGTGCTAATAGCACAAAAACTTGATTAAATTTCCTGGTGTTTGTAGCTGTAATCTGTTGGTCTGTGAAGCATTGTCCGAAGCTGCTTCTGACAGATTGAAAAGTCCCTTTTGCTCATGCCAGAAACTGGGCTGACAGTTAAGCACCATATCAACAAGAAGGATATGCCTATGCTTATTATGCCTAAAAGATGCTTAAGCTTTTAACGTAGTGTGGAGGAAGTGTAGGCCTTCAGTTTTCCTTTTTTTTCTTCCTATTTTTATCTCACTACTGGTTTTAATAGTAGAAAGATAAACCATATGCCCCACGAAGAGTGAGATTATATAGCTAGCTTGACATTTCTTAAAATAGCAGGTTTCATATGTGGTTTGGAAGAAGTCACAGTAGACTAGATTTCTAAACTAATAACTTGGGGGTTTTTGTTGACTGTCTTTTTGCTATAAAACACACTTAAGCGAGTTGCATGTGATGACTGTATTGGCTGCATAGAATTTGCTCATATGAATGAGTTTGCTTACTCAGTTGCAGAATCAGATCATGACAATTCTTGTTTTCAAAGCAAGAGTCAAAGTGTGGAAGCTCTGGTACTGTAATTAGCTGCTAAGCGTATTTGCTGTAATCAAATACTCAAATTTTAATAGTTTTTCTCTATATAGTTATTCAGTTGTTTGGTTTTTTGTGTTTTGTTACATTTAGACAGGGTCACTTATCCATGGTTGTACAGCTGATGAAATATGGGGCAGATCCGTCGCTCATTGATGGAGAAGGATGTAGCTGTATTCATTTGGCTGCCCAGTTTGGACATACATCGATTGTTGCTTACCTGATAGCAAAGGGACAGGTAAATTTTAAGTAATATCATATTTAAATAGATTCTATTCAAAATTAGAGTAGGAAAACAATTGAAACTTACACCTGTGATTCAGGAAATGCAAAATATTTGCGTGACTAAACATAAAAATAATTAAATGTCTTTTATTGTAAACTGCAGTATTGATGTACCACCTCCTAACTTAAATTTCCTCTGACAGAGGTTTGAGTACTTTGGCTTTAATTCATACCTGTCTAGTGTAGTATATTTCTAGCAGTTATTAATTTACCATTCTTCACTTCTATTGAGTTTAATCTTTAAATGTTAACGGTGACAATGATAGCAAATATTTTAGAATTCCTCACAGAATCTTCAGGTTATACCTGGGTGAAGAATCTAATGACAAAGAGTTGTCACAGGTCATCCTTTTTTTACACCTCAGTACACAACTTTTATTTATTGTTGTTACTAATTTCATGCATGTGTAAATAAAAACAAACAAACCACAACAAAAAACCCCAACCCAAACCCTTCTTGCTAGCCTCTTATATTACTGCTAGATCTGTAAAGGGTGTATATAGCATGTGTATTCATTACTGTTCTTGTTGTCTCCCATCCTTCATTCTCTATGCTCAAAAACATAATCACCTTTTTGCTACTCAGCCTGTGTTATAATTTGTAGATTTACTCAGCCGCAGATATGTGTCTGAAGTACAAATTTCATTAGCAGTGTTAAGCCATATAGAAAAGTCAAAGCCCTCCTCTCATTTTACAGCCTTGCTAATGCTGTTTATGCTTCTGTATTCCACTTATTCTTTGAAATAACAAGTGATGTACAGTCCAGTGAGTTAGGTAGAATATGGCTATGAAGTCAGTGTGTTTGGTTTGTGTAAAACAAATACTAAATTTGCTGCAGAAAATTATCTGTGCCTATAGAAGTAAAAAAGTAAACTATTGCTCCTGCAGTATTCTATTTGTGTCTGAGAACTGTTTGGTAAAGCAGTATTTAGTGTATGATAGAGAGTAAGCTAGGCACAAGAAGGGGTTGATCATATATAATCACTGTTTTGTAAGAGATAATGATTGGAGATAAATGCTTTTTCATCAGGAAGAAGTTTTGTATTTTATTCACAAATTATGTATAATTGTATGTGGGTTTTGTGTTACCAGAAAAATCTTGCAGATGTTATACAAGTGCAAACATGTTTAAATCATAGTATTAATGAAGTATAATTGGCCTTTAAAATGTTCTGCTGTGATTATGAAGTCTCCCTGTAAATGTTTGTTTGTCCTCATGTTTATATACAGACTTGTCCTATTTATCTGAGCATATAACACTTCAGTCCAAAAGAATCTGTGTGTCTTTTACATGTGTACATGCATAACTGCACAAAACTTTCTTTAAAATTTAAAACCTATTATCTTGGAAACAGGTCTCCTTATCAACAGCTTTTAAAAGGATCATTCTTATTAAATCCCCCAAATGTTATCAAGTATCCGTTCCATGCCATAAGTTTGAATTAATTTTAACAGTCATTTTTGGAAGCACTTAAAAAAATTCAAATTTAAAATTATGTATTGATTCGTATGTTTAAAATATAGTAATATCAATAGCATTGTAATAACAATCCCTAAACTCATAGTTCTCTAGCTATACTACATACAACTACAGAAACTACATGGTTTCTATAGAAGCTATGTGAAATACATGATTCTACTTTTTATTGTCCTTTAATAAGTATATGAAGTCATTAATCCCCACTCCCCCCCCGCCCACACACACACACGCTTTCTTTGTGGTGCCATGATTTGGGTTTGGCAACTTGAACTGCTTTTGCTTGTGTGGGCTTACCCTGTATACTACTTGCAAATTTTTTTTGCCTTTTCTCTTTACAGAGACCAGGTTCTCTTATATCCAAAGCGCATGCTTGCCCTTTGTCTGAACCTAATTGTAGTACCTTTGTGGTAAATGACAACTCAATAAATGCCAAAATAAAGGTCAGTGTAGGCCGTTGTGCTTTGTTAGTTCTGATCCTGATGCGTTTGTGGACCTGCAGTGATCAGAGGAGAGCCAGCTTTCATAACTGTGTAGAGAACTGACAGGTGAATTAAGAAGTTGCTCCTAATTGCTTCTTGTACCTTTTTGAGACAGAGCTGGAACCCAGCTTCAGTGTTGCTGCGTCACTCTTTTCCTGGGCTGCAGCAACTAATGGTAAAATTTCCAATCTGAGACTTGAGTCCAGTCCTCTATCTTCTGGAGTGTAGTGTAGGGGAAGAACTTTCGGTCAGATGCCCTCCGGCCTTGGTTGGAAGTGAACCCACTTTAATGCCAGCAAGTACTGCTCAGCTAAGATGCAGCAGTGGCTGATAGCCATTGCTTTTTAGTCATGTCTCTTACTGAATTTTGAGACTGTGGTACCTGGCTGTATCATAATTTGCTCATGTTGTTTGTGTCAGTAGGTTGCTTGGGTCAAAATAAAACCTGGGGCAAGTACACAATAATCAGATAGCATTAACAGAATCTGAAGCACAGTTCAAGTCTAGGTAAGATCATTCTTTAAAAAAAATGCAAGAAAAAAACTGAAAAGAGCTTGAAGGCACTTGGAAGTGCTCAGAATTGATGCTTGTGCTACTTGACGCTTGACACTGTGCTTACATTACTTAAATGCCAAAGGCGTATCAGGACCTAGCGTACACAAACAAGTCACCCTGGAATAAGTTAAGATATGGCCACAGCATGTTGGATGGTTGAATAATGTGTTCTTGTCTTGTGGCATGTATGAGATAATTTACCTCATTCACAGATAATGAGTGACCATAAAGTTACTACTAGGGTAAAACCACGTTGTAAGAAATATTCTGGAGCTAAAATTATAGTTTAACTATTTCATACTCATAGTTTAACTATTAAGTATGTATTTTTTTTATTCTAGAGTTGAATTCTATGTGTTAACTACTGTCCCAAGATACATAGGGCTTTCTTCTGAGCTATGGCCTAGGAGTAGTTGGCATCTAGGTTGGGAGATGCCAGTGTGGTACCAGCAGCCTTGGTTACTTTGGTGCTGCAGTCTGTGAGCAGTGCTCCGAAGCACTGTTACTACTGTTGGCGCTGAGGATTGTTCTCTCTGCTGGGCTCAGGCCAGTGTAAGACCTACAGCACGTTACTTAGAGAATTATAAGTCCAGTCCTGGTCCAGTCCTGTTTCTTCCTCATGATTGTCAAAACTGACTTTGTGTTTGGTGGCCTAGAGTATTCAGAACAGAAAGAACAAGGTAGGTTCAGTTCTGTGTGTTACCTTGGTGAGCCACCTGTTGGTCTGCACGCAGTTTGTTCCACCAGAATCCTACAAAATCTCTGCTTCTAGCAAATAACTAGCACTTGTCTTTCCTAAATTAGGAAACATTTTCAGCCTTCCTGATAAATCTTCTTTACTATATACTTCTAAGTATATCATCTCTTTAGAAGGCTGCTTCCCTTTCCCTGGGCAACAGTCCATCTGAAAGAGATCTTTTCCTTATGGAGAACAGCATTCTCAACAAGGGTGTGATGGGTCTTTCTATGAAGGTCTGTGTTTTGTGAAATAACCAGTAATGGTTCTAAAGAGGGTCAAATACCTGGTCTCTTTCTGTGCAATTTAATACACTTTAAGTGGAATCTCTTGTGCTTTTGAAAAGGCTGTATTGTATCATAGTACTGGTTTGACCATTGCTTTTTAAATATCCTGGTAAGCCTAAATGCTACTCTGATCTGTAGCTGCTATTCAGGATCCTACCTCGTCAGCTGTATTGCTTTCAGAAAGTAGCGTTGCACAGCAGAATAGTTGCTACAGCTCCTTTCCATGCAGGAAGCTCTTTCTCCCCTGTAATTTTGCCTTTCCAGAGGCTTTTTGTGGAATCTTGTATTAGTGTCCTAGAATTAAGTCTGGTTATCTTTGCATATGCAAGGTTGTACTCTTCCAGAATCAGACTTGCTCTGTTTCAGAAACAAGTGAAGAATTTGCCAGTTGTGGTCCACGGAGTTCACCCTTGAAATGCGCACAGAGGGCCGCAGTATGTGCAATTTTTGATCATTGCATCACTTATTATTGAAATCTTTGGTTCTTACAGTGCTTGTACTGTAAGAACCAACTACACCCTTGTAGGGGTGTCCTAACAGCATAAGTACACCCCTCCATAAGCAATACCAGATTGACCTGTCACTGAGAGTTAAACAAGAAATGAATGCTAAAATGCCTGTTGGTACTCACCAGAACA